ATTGTTGTTTGGCGGGTCCGGGCTGGGGATTCGAACCCGCCACCTTAGGTGTACGTGGCTGGCGCCTTAGCCGGTTGAGCTATAGGTGCCGAGCCAAAATATTATATTCTGAGCAACAATACCAGTGTTTCAGCATGTCATGGTATGGTAGTTAAGGTAACCTCCAAAATGATAGTCAAAAGATACTGGCACATTATTGGAGATTTACTCTGTCACTAACAACTAGTCCAGTTCATTCCCAGAGCAACACAGCTTAGGTTTGCCGTCTTTGAAACTGTCGAGTTACAAACATAGGGATTAGTCTTAGCAATATATTGGTTTCATTCTTTCAGATAATTGAGCCAAAGTCATCTCCTGCTCTCAGCTTGTCTCAGGGAACCAATGTAATAGATTTCCCTTGTTGTGTAATGCATTTATTCATTCTTTTACTCTCAGCTACCATTCCTCTTTCTCTCTCTTTATTATTGAATTTGACCCAAACTTTTCCACCTTTGGAAGGGACATTAGGTTCAGCCACTGTGCTAGTCCAGTTTGCCAGCAGCAATATTGGTCTAGCAAATGCTTCCCCCTCAGACCACTCCCAGCCATATAGGGAATAATCATATAAGTACAGAACTCATGGGCTACCCTAACCACTAGGTTACAGTACAACTGCATTCACTGTCAACCTCATTTGCCAGATGAGGTGAAACTCCAGTCTATCACATTAGTATTAGGCCCTTAGGACGTAAACATTTAAAAGTACAGTTACAATTTCTTGTTTAGGAATCATCCCTGCTTAAGTTGCGTTGAAGTCCTGGTCCTGGGACCACTGCTTCAGGTAGGGAAAAGCAGAAAGCTAAGAAATATGGAAGGAAATTGTAAAATTGAAACCATATCCACTCTCACCTCCTCTCCCTCAGATCCTTCTGAAAAGTGAAGAAATCTATCTAGTGGAGACTTTCCTTGGTCCTCCTCATGTTGATCATGAGCTCACAGTTGTGAAGATATTTAAGTTAGTCCTTCATACCTCTATTTCCTCTGGTTTTAGACAAAAAATGTTTCAATTACCTGTTCCAATTCTCTATCAAACCACTACTCTGAGGATAGCTCTTTGCTCATTGTTGGACATTAAGGGTTGTTAAGGACTAAATTTTGTCTCTCTTAAATTCATATGTAGAAGCTCTAACACCTGGGGTGACTGTATTTGGAAATAGAGCCTTTAATAGAGATATTTAGGGTTCAATAAGGCAGGGCTTTAATCTAATAGGACTGGTATCCTTATAAGAAGAGGAAGAGACCCCAGGAATGTGAGTGCACAGAGAAAAGTCCATAAGCGGGCACAGTGAGAGGTGGCAACTGGGAAGCCAATAAAAGAGTCCTCACCAGAATACAACTCTTCCAGCATCCTTTATCTTGGACTTCCAGCTTCCAGAACTGTGAGAAAATAAATCTCAATTGTTGAAACCACCCAATCTGTGGTATTCTGTTATGGCATCTGGGCAGATTAATAAAGTTGCGGAATGTAACTTGGTGGTTCAAATTGATATAATGTCAGCTGGGTATGGTGGCTCAGCCCTGTAATCCTGGCACTCTGGGAGGCCAAGGTGGGTGGATAGCTTGAGCTCAGAAGTTTGAGACCAGCCTGGGCAAAAGTGAGACCTGTCTCTACTAAAAATAGAAAAATAAAACTGAAGCAAGAGGATCACTTGAGCCCAAGAGTTGGAAGTTGCTGTGATCTATGATGCCACAGCACTCTACCCAGGGCAACACCTTGAGACTCTGTCTCAAAAAACAAAACTAAACAGCAGTGGCACCCACAGCTCAGTGGGTAGGGTGCTGGCCACGTGTGTACCCAGACTGGTGGGTTCGAAACTGGCCTGGGCCTGCCAAACAACAACAACAACTGCAACAAAAAAATAGCCAGGTGTTGTGGTGGGTGCCTATAGTCCCAGCTACTTGGGAGGCTGAGGCAAGAGAATGTCTTAAGCCAAAAAGAGTTTGAGGCTGCTGTGAGCTGTGACACCATGGCACTCTACCGAGGGTGACACAGTGACACTGTGTCTCAAAAAAAAA